TGGTTCAAAGTGTTCGGCACTTTGGTCTGCTTCCGATCAAGGGCATTAGGCTAGATTCTTGATCTAGATTCTGGATCTACCTTATAGTTATTAAAACTGTGTCTGCTACGTCACTGCGCGACACTCTCGGTCTCTGCTACGCTTTACTAAATTAATCTCTATGCTTCTACTAACTACTGAAGTCTAGGCTAGATCTAGATCTAGATTCTAGATCTAGATTCTAGATCGCAGTAGATTTGACTCATTACCTTGTGCACTTTACTTTCAGCACTGCCAGCGAAGCGCATAAATTCAACCAACACAGACACAAGAAGAAGAAACAGGCTTTCGTCACTTTCGAGGAATTCTGTAACAAGAGGTCTATTATTCTACGCTTGCTTACAAAGTTGCTTGACTGCACCAGGTGCCAGATATAGGTCAGAAAGGAAAACATATTTTAGAGTTACCTCCCTGCCTCCCTTCTCTCCGTTCAAGGTTCAGATCATAACTGTTTGTAGGCCAAGGCCTTGGCAACAGCTGACCGTAATAATCGGCTTGTATTCCAGAAATCTTTAGCGCGGGCAAAATACCACTATAATTCAAACCAAATTTTATCAAGCTGGGGGGACAAAATTGTGTAAACCATCTAAAGTCATATTTATCGAGAAGTCCTGAAACAGTATTACTATTTAACTTTCTTTGAACTGCCTTTCTTCCATTCATAATTTTAATAACAAGAATTTTAATTCAAAAGAGATCCAGTTAAAAGAATTATAATACATAATATTATAAACTCGCAAATATTTTCTCTCTCTCTCTGTCTCTGTCTGTCTCTCTCTCTCTCTCTCTCTCTCTCTCTCTCTCTCTCTCTCTCTCTCTCTCTTTCTCTCTCTCTCTCTTTCTCTCTCTCTCTCTCTCTCTCTCTCTCTCACTCACACACACACACACACACACACACACACACACACACACACACACACACACACCACTGCCATTAACTACAAAAACAACAACAACACAACAAAAACAACAACACAACAACAACAACAACAACAACAACAACAGCTCTGGGGCTCCAAACGTTTCAAACGGATGAACTACCACAACAACAGCACAACAGGGCCTACAATTACACCAAAGATACTACACCCGTAGGCTGAACTATCTTTGCTTACACTACACTATAGGCTACACACACACACACACACACACACACACACACACACACACACACACACACACACACACACACACATACACACACACACACGCACAGGCACACACACAGACACACCCTACACTCATTAAACGTGTGGTGGTCTAGGAAAACCAAGAAGATGCAAAGCCCTAGCAGCTGAAATAAATAGACACTTTATACATTTTTCCTTTATTTGAATTCCTTTCACTTTGCTTTTTTCTTCAATTTTCCTATACATGTAATTTGGAAACTGTTATACTATATAACGCTTATGAATTTTTCTTTTGAAATTGTTTCAGTGCCAGAGCTACGCATGGACATATTATGTGACATATATGAAATAAAATCAAGAGCTGGTGACCTCTGATAACTTCCCGACTCAATAAATTAAAAGATGTCCTGGAAATTATAAGTGCCTCCCAAGACTAGCAGTTGACTTCCCATAGCCTTTGCTTCGCACGGTTAAATGCATAACTTTATCAAAATATTATAATTCTTTAATTTTAATTATGCCTACCGGGAAGTAAAAGGAGTTTAAAACTTTAATTACAAAAGAAAAAGATATCAGACACTTCGATGATCAGCCAATATTGTTTATAAGGCTATAATATAAGCTATATAGGCCTAGGCATCTGGGAAGAGGAATCTTGCGGTTCACTTTAAAAATGCCAGACCAACAATTGTGGAGGTGTGAATGTTAAGACATGAGTTTGAAGTTGAAGGAAGAAAATGCAAAAGAAGACAAGAGAGTGAAAGGGCAGGAGGCCAACACTGAAGACACGCGCTGTTCTTTTCAAAATCCACCAGGCTAGCCCAGACAAAACGCCGACACAATTCCTGAATGCAATGTGACAAGATCTAGCGATCTCTTTGTAGCTTTTAACAATTAGTTATAAATATGCACGTGTTGCGCCCATGGTGACACTCTATGAGGCGGAAATTGCATAATAATATTATTGCCAGCCGACACCTCAATAATTGTAATTTAAATCGCTCTTATTGTTTATGTAAAGCATGATATCGCACTCCGTGTGGAAATGCGATATATTAACTTAAAAGTGAAATTTATTGTTATTATAATAATAATTATTATTGTTGTTGTTGTTGTTGTTGTTGTTGTTGTGTTGTGATGTTGTTGTGTGTATATATTTATCACCATGTTCAACCGATACACACACACATAGACATATAGGCCCTCTATAGCCTACATGGATAGGACAGTATTCAACTTGAAACTTGAATAAATAATTTAACGACCTGAGTGTTAGAGTTGAATTTATTTTTCTTTATTTGAAATTTAAAAAAAAAATGTTTGGCTACCGATAGTTATCAAGAGGCCCATTGTATTTATAATTAAATCTGTCTAGTTTTTATTAATCCAACTTTATTTTTCTTCATATAGGGATTTTCCCGTTTTATCCTTCCATATTTTTAATTGTCTTACACACTGGGAGTAATGTCCCTTCTTATAAACAAGCAACGATTAGCCCAGGCCTTGCACTGCTATCTTTGTACTTGTACAGCTCTTTGCTTTTCTGTCGCCACTCGCCACGCAACTCACCGGTGCCTGCTAGCTTTTTGCCTCTGTCTGTGAGGGATCCTGACCACCACTGACGAATAGAGCAGTTTCCTTTGAAAAGAACGCTGAGGAATTAATTGCAGTCGCCACAGCTCTTAAGACCCCTCACTGTGTAAACCCAGAGACAAGGAAGACCCGTGCAAGTGCAGCAGTGCGCGTGTGAGTAGCATTTTCTTAGAGCCTCTGCCTCAAATTTAGTCTTGATTCTAAGTCTAAGTCGCTAAGTAGAGTGGTATTCAATAGTCTACTACAGTTACTACTACTAGAATCTAGATCTAGATATCGATATCTAATCTAGTCTAGATCTATATCTAGATCTAGACCTGCTACCACCACCACCACTGCAGATTCTATTTCTTACTGTTAGCTGTATCATTTTATTTAATTATCTTATCTTACTTTGTATTCCCTTCCTTTTGGGGGGGGGGGGGGGGGGGG